GAAGTAGATGCTACTACAGAATATAAGCATGTTCTCACTAATAAATACAAGTTAAGTAATTCTAAATTTGTGTCACTTCTTAATAACAAATAGTACAGTGATATGTAGTATAAAACACGCTAATGTTCAATTGAAAATATTTTTCTAGCCAAATTACTTTACTGATATAATCACCAAATCTTTAAGAAATATATGAACATGGAAAAGGATACGTTGGACTGTAATATGTTGGGTTCAGCCTCTACAAAACCACCACTTACCAAAGAAGGTGCATGGGGATTTAGAAATATTAGTAAAGAATACAAAGAAACATATGAAAATAATAAAATAGAAACCATAGAAAATGGTACCAGGAGGGAGTACCAATAAATACTGAAATAATCATCGGACTTTTTTTCCCCATATACTTTTATAGCCAATTCAAAAGAGGGAAAGGGGAGAAGGTAACAAAAAACTTCTTTAACACGATACAAAGGACAACTTGAACAGTTAATTTCTTTAAATCTTTGAGACATCAAATCATTAGCATTCTTTTGTCTAGGCAGTGAAGCCATCCTAGACCACAGGTCCTGAAGGCAGCCACTTCCCAGGTGACCTCATAATTACTAAAGAAGGAGTAGAAGTATGTTTGCATTTTCTGACCACCTGTTAGGATGGAATTGATCTACTTGTATGAACTATCTTAATGTCAAAAGTAAATCATGTCTTTGTCAACTTTTTTGAGCAACCTCCAAACTTTCTGACTGTCAGATGAGGTGAAACTAGTTTCTCATATTGGGGCCTCTAACAAAGTGAGTCCCTTCCCTGGTTTTCTTTTGTTGAAGTAGGCAGCGCCATTTTACAGCACTTTATTCAAGTTCCCCTGATGAAGACAAAGTGAATCATCCTTTGTTAAATACATGTTCTGTAAACAATTTTTTTGTTTCTGGCAGGGCACAGTTGAAAATACCACCTGACAGCTTTCAGTGGTCAATCAGAGTCAGAGAGCATTAGAAAGTCCAATGGATTCTTGATGGGATATTCCAAAAAGGAACAGTTTAGACAGCTTGAATTTTTCAGTGGGTATGCTGCTTGAGAGCTTTGAGCCTTGGAAATGCAGTAACAGGACTTTTTATCTGAAAATCCATAGCCCAGAGAGGAACCACTATATATTTTTGAATGACTATACTCCCAGTGATGTGATTGGGAAGTCTAGATTTCCTTTCATACAGATTACCTGTTGAGGTCAAGCAAGAGCAGGGACCTAAAGGAGCTGAAGACGTAAAGATAAGTTGGCATAAAACAATTCCCAAGCTTTCTACCCTGCGAACAAATTGTACCCAGATGGCTATTTGGAACATATAAGGGTGTTCCTCCTCCTGAGCACCCAGAAGGTTTCTCAAAGCTGACGATTGACTTTCTTCCTGTCAAACCAACTTCTGAGGCAGTCTGTTAATAACGTTCGAGTATTCCCCAAAAAACATCAATAAGACATCTTCATGCTAACCACATGGCTAAATGGAAAACTTCTGAAATTGTACAAAACATGATCAAGCATTTTTATTCCACACTACACAGCCACCATAATTAGTTATCAGAAATGCATGCCGCTCTCTAGGCAATACTTCCTGCAATACTTAAAAAAAAAAGCAACGGAGAATTTTCCCTAAGGATCCATGATATTCCAGAATGCCACACTGTGAAAATTGAGGAAAAATTAAAACCATACTGAAATCTTACTATAGTGCTACGAAATCAATGAAGTCAGAAGGGAAGCAGCCCTGATTGACTGTCAAGAGTAAAGTCTGCAATTCCCTGACTCCCTCAACCACACACAAGTCAAACCAAAGGAAATGGAAATCAGAAACTAAGCAACAGGACTCTGTATCTGCAAAATAATGCCCGAATAAATAAGGAACACAAAAATATATTTCTCAGGAATACACACATTGAAAATTGGAGGATTTAGGGCTTTGTAATGTTGTTCTGTTTTAGATTTTTTTTCCAGTCGAGCTTTCTATAAAGAAATGTTAAAAGTTCTTCATAAAGAAGGAGAGTGATATAAGTAGTTTTCCCAGTCATTATATAAAAGGAAAATACTTAAAGAAATAAGTCAAAGAATCATAAATATATAATGTTCCTACTTTTATGTCTAACAAGTTAAAGATTTTACAGAACAGTAAAGTAAGAATGTGCTTAATTGTAGATGATGACATATATATTTTTATATACTTGTACATATTAATTTTAGGCAAAATGAAAGATATCCCTAACATAAGAGGCATCAGATGCACCATTCATATACACAGCAAAGCATGGTCCATGCTTCATTAATGAGTCCTACTTAATGAGCATGAAATGTTCCAAGAGACAAAGAAGAATACCAGAGAAAAATTACAGAAAATAAGTCTGATGAGAAAATACTGTCCAAGATAACAAACAATATAAAATAATTAATAAAGGAGGAACCAAAGACCTTAGAAAGCAAGACAAAGAGCATGTAAGCAAGCTTAGAGAAAGCTATTTCACCTTCACCAGGGATATGCCTGTTAGTTAAATCAGGAGCAAAGTCTGGACCAGCCACCAGAAGCTGGTAAGACAGGCAACTACCCTGTAAGAGGAGAGAGGGCCTGCTTTTCATCCCGGGCTCCAGACTAGCTTACACCCAAAATAATCACACAGAAATTGTATTCATTTAATCACTACCTGGCCAATTATCTCTAGTCTCTTTTTGACTAACTCTCCCATCTGGATTTAACCCATTTCTATTAATTTGTATAACACCACGAGGTCATGGCTTACCAAGAAAGATTCAGCATGTCTGACCTGGCGGCTCCATGGCGACTCTATCACTCTGCTTTCTTCTTCCCAGAATTCAGTTCTGTCTTCTCCACCCACCTAAGTTGTGCCCTATCAGGCCAAGCAGTTTCTTTATTGATTAACCAATGAAAGCAACAGATAAACAGAAGGACCTCCTACATCAACCACCCCATTTGTAAAGCTGTTTGTATGAGCTGAGACTTGCTCAGTGCTGCACTTGAAGTTTTCTTTCTGGAATTTCTGGATAACTTTGTTAACTACCACCAGGTCCTGTTAGACCCCAGACTAAAGCTGTTGTCATTGTCCTCCCTTTTCCTCAGTAGGTGACAAATGGCAACATTTTAATATCAGGGGCTTCATGAGGACAATTTACTGAAAGTCAAATAGACATAATAGATGACATCTTTGAGACCTGGAACAGATTAAAATGAAAATTATTTCCTATTGGAGGGTAATGTCTGCTTCATTCTGGTGTGGCTCTTATTTCTCTGACATACACAACATCTCCAATCTGTTTCTATATAGGAATATAAATGCACATGTGTACAGGCACTGTTTACAGAATTGAGTCAGTTCTCTGAGTAAGTTTATGTTCATGTTTGAAAAGTTTTTAACCTCCATGTTGACATGGCTGACATTAGTTCTCTGACATCTACTTTGATGATTTTGGTTCTAAATCAGAAAGGTGATTTTGATTTTCTTTTCCATTTTTTTATTAATTGAATGTTTTTTATTGCAAAGACTTAAATTTAGTCTCAGTGCAAAACTGTGAATTCTCTTGCTATTTAATGATGCATGATTACAGAGTTTCTTAATGAAAATAAAGAATTCCATTCCACTCTCTGTATATGACTCCTCTTTTCATTGGAGTTAGCCTTTTTATTTTTTCCTTTTTGCTAAGACATAAGTGATTGTCACTTTCTAATTAGAGACCAAAGGGTTTCTATTCCAGTCTTAGAGCACTGTTAAAGCTTTTGAAAAGTCCTTATTAATGACTAGACTCATTTCTAAGAAAATGATTCCTTCACTCCAAATCTTAGCATTCTGTCAGGTTTGGGAAATGTTTCATTACATTGAATGAAAATTTGTTTAGTAAACAATTAATTAGATAATTAGAGTCAAATTTGTTTTAAGTTACATTAGAAGGTTTGGTTTCAAAAGTAAAATTTAAGTCATATTTTAATTTACAATAGCATATAAAATACTAGCATACATATTCTAATTTAAAGCATAATTTGCTTGATAAATGAGAGACTAGCTTTTTATAACCCTAATAAAAATTGCCTGTATCTGAAAACAAACACAAACTTCATGAACCACTCCTGTGGAAACAGTATTCCAGCCATTTGTGTGGGAAACAAGATGTTTTACATACCTTACAGACTACTGCAGGAAAGACAATTTAAATGTAGTATTTTTGCAAGCTTGTACATCATGCAGAGGAATTCATACATTTCCGCACTGAAATATGTAATACAATAAAAGTGAATCATTCTAATAAAATGTTAGGATCTAATAATGATAAGGCCTTCTTCAAGCAATTTCAGTATCCTTAAGCTTTGTATCATGAAAATGATTGAAAATTGTCATCGTCCAAGGAGACTCCTCCAACTGTCACATTCTATTTTATTGTAGCAAAATATGCATAGCAAAAAAAATCACCATTTTAACTCTTTAAGTTCTGCAATTCATTGACACAAAGCGTCAGCATCACTGTGCCATTCTTCTCATGACTGAGTTCCACAACTCTCACTTGTCTAAACTGAATTCGGTACTAATTACTGATTGTTTTTCCCCTCACCATTGGCAACCACTGCTCTGCTTCCTGTACATGAATTTGACCGCTCTGTAGGTCTTAGGCAATTAGCATTGTGTAACACTTGTCTATTCTTGTTTCTTATTTCACTCAGTGTATTGTTTTGAAAGTTTATATATGTGATACCATTGTAAGAACTGTATTCCTTTTTTAGTTCAATTGTATTCCATATATTCCATTGAATGAATATATATATATATATATATATATATATATATATATATATATATCCTTCAAAGATATGTAAGTCCTTCCTAATCGTTGGTGTCAGTGACTCCTAACTTATATAATCATTACAGCTGTAATAGAATACAGCAAAGCAGAGAGATTACCTAGCATTATCCAAATAGGTCTCTCATGCCATCACACATATCTTTTCCTTTTTTAAAATAGGGAATGCTTCACAAATTTGCGTGTCATCCTTGCAGAGGGCATGCTGCCATAGTGCCTCTGTATCATTCTAATTTTAGTCTATGTGGTGCTGAAGCAAGTGCAATCACACAGGTCTTTATCAGAGAGAGGCAGATCTAGGCAGAGAACAGCAGAAGCCGTGTGATGACAGGAGCAGATACGGTGACCTCAGAATGACAAGGAGTGAATTTTCCCTCTGAGCCTCCAGATTAAAGAATCTTGCTTACACTTTGATTGTAGCTTTGTGGTGCTTGCTTTCACCTTCTGACCTCCAGCATCTGTTAAACAATTAATTTCTATTGTTTTTACAACCAACTGTGTAATATATTGTACAAGCAAAGAGAAATGAATGCAAACCATAATGGCAACAGTTCTATAAAACTTTTATCTGTCAGGAAATGTTCTGTGTATAAAAAAAATCTACATTCAGCTAGATGTGTTGGTATGCAATTGTGACCACAGTGTTGGAAAGTCCAAGACAAGCAGATCCCCAGAACTGAGTGGCCAATAAACTTAGTCTATTTAACAAGTTTCACACCAGTAAGAGACTCCACCTTTTCCCCAAAGAAAAGAAGTATACACCAGAGGTTTGTCTTTTGTTCACATGGGTACACATACCTAAACACACATTGATGCACATGTGTACATGAACAAAAAAGTTACCAAAACTCAAATAAACTTAGAAATTGTCACACCTGCTTTGGCACAACTGAAACGTGGAAGTGTATATAACTGCCCAATATTATGCGGCTAGTGTAGCTCAGACACACTCATCTACATGGGTCTTGAGGAATGTTTTGATCTGTATCCTGTATACTTCTCAGAAGCAGTATTTCCAGAAAGTTAGCTTTGTGGCTAGAAACAATGCTGATTACTAAGAAAAGAATATTGGCAAACAGGGTAATGTTGAGGGTTTGCAAAGATAAGGAGGAAAACAGAACTTCATGTCATATAGGTGTGACTACAGGTTGGGTTTTTTTTCTAGAGAGTGACAATTCTAATATTTATCCAAATGGCAAGTGTGCGGTAAGTCATTCCACTATCATTAATTATAGCAGCCTGTAATAGCGAAAGGCGGGAACATTTTCTGGATACATCATTGATGCCAGGTTAGCCACAGTATGGTCACCAGCAATCCAAGCTAGTCCACTGCTGTGTTTTCTATTGCTCTCTCCAAAATCGAAGAGGATTTTCTAAGTTCTCACCCACCCTCTACTGTCCTAACACTTCTTCCTCGAGGCCTTAGTTCTTATCCAATCTGTGTGAAAATTACCACTGTGCTTACACCTGGCTCAGCCTAAGAGCAAATGGCAGTATTGCTCAGAATGTCACACAGATGGAAATCAATAAGGATGAGAAAGCTAATACTAATTGCCCTCAGTAGCTTGTCTGTGCCAGATTTGTGCTGTGGTCTTACACATAGATTCAGATCAATTCCAGAGTCATATACAGCTTAAGCCAGAGCTTCTGCAGCCAAAGCTAAGACTCAGGTAAGTTAAACAATCTCACTAGGACACAGTGGAGGACTGACATACATAAACAGGTCTAATTTTTACTGGAGGGGCCTTGACCAGTTATTTTGTTTGTTTTATTTGAAATACAAAAATAAAAATTGGTAAATAATTTGGCAAATATGCTTCTAAACTGAAATAGGAGACATCCTCAGTATGTTTGAGATTCTAGAGGCCAAGAGTGCATTTTCAATGATTTGATCACTCAGGTAAACCTTCTACTAGGGCAAGGTAAGTCACACCCCTTTCATCATCATGGAATACTAGAAAATTGAATGTTCCAAAGAGCTCTGAATGACATCTTGGAGAAAGACAAAAAGTAGACCCTATCAGCCTATGCTAGAAACCCAAATCACATTATCTTATTACTGCAATTTACTGATTTTTCACAATTCTTCACAAATTATAGTTAGTTTGCATATATGTGAAGGCGTGATGTCCTCTGTTCCCCAGGAAATGCTAGCTCTTTTCCTGCCAGAACACTTCTCTGGCAGTGTTAATGGGAACAGCTTACTTCTGCAAAGTCCTAGATTCTAATTTCTCAGCACATTACATCCTGGTAACAAATTTTCCATGGACATCATTCAAAGACTATATATTTTAGAATTTTACTGAATAATACATACTATACTGAGAAATAGAATTTGTAAACATTCCCAAAATTGATACTAAAATTGACTATTTAATTGGCATTATAACTTATATTTAAGATGAGAGAAATAATTTTAAATCATAACACCTATACTGTTAAATTTGAATATTTTCTTCTTATACCATTTTAAATCTTTCACATTTTTTCAGGAGTTTTTTTACCCTTTGTTCTTTTGCTTATTATAATCTATTGAATAAATTAATGTACTCGGGCAAGGAACATAACTCGGTTGGTAGAGAGCAGGCCTAGTACACATGAAATCAATCATCAGCACCTGATAAACTAGGTGTGTGGCACAGACCAGTAATCCTAGCCTTCAGGATATAGAAAACCTTGGCCACAGTAGACTTTGTTTCCAAAAATAGTTAATATAATGTACTCTTGAAATAATCTTTTTTTTGTTTTAGCATCTGTTTTCTTCTAATTAAAATTCTGCATACTATTATTTATAGCATTTCTAATTCTTTCTAGTGGAAACTTTTGATATTTTAACTAAACTAAAATTGCATGTAAGGCTGGATAAATTGCAGTAACTCCACATTAATATTTATTAAATCAGTTTCCTTAGTTTATTTCTATAGGACAGGGAATATACATTTTTTTATTTCATCAAATTCATTGTTATGGAATGTATTGTTATTTTCCACATTGCTTTCATTTTACCATTAATTATGCAGCTAAAGTTGAACTACCGAGTACTTAAGTGGATGAATGCATAGAGTTGCTAGAAACTCTGAGAAAGAATTATTTTAGAATTTTTGAACATATTCAGGATCTAGTCTATTAAAAATATCATAATAAATTCTTTGTGTCTCAAAATCAATAACATATTTTAGGAAGTAAATAGAGAAAATATACAAATGTCAGCAGAAGTCAATATCCCTTTACTGAAAGATCAGTCTGATTTTGTTTTATTCTTAATATATTTAACTCTGTTTTATTTTATTGTGTGATTTACTGAAAACAAAAGATCTTATTTTATCGCTTCTTGATATAATCTCTTTTTATTCATCTAGAAGTATTTTTCATATTGCTATTAATTTATTACTTAAAATTGTAAAACTTTGCATGTTGAAGTCACCATTGCATAAGAAATATTGTTGGTATGGACCAGAGTTACCTGTTTCTGTGTCCTGTGAATTTTGTTGTTTGGATTCATTTTATAAGCTGTCTTTCTCTTTAAAATTCTTCAACAATTCCTTTCTCATACCTGCACACCGTCTTTTTAAATGCCAAATTCTCGGAATTGCACGTGGTGTTAGAAATTAAGCTTTCCCTTTGCTTTCTCTTCAATAAGATTCACCTCCAGGAAATGAAAATCATTTGATGTCCACGGGCAGCCTGCTCTCAATGATTCACAAATAGATAGGTCAGAGCTGTTTATTTATAAGGCTCCAAAATCAATACTTTTCAAAGAGAAAATAAAACATCCCATAAATCCTCACCCAAAAGGATTGCTGTTTAAAGCACCTCAACACGTAAGGTTAAAGTTCTAGAATGAGTCATAGAACCTATGATGTCTTTAGTATTTTACTTTTTAGTAAAGTATTCATTATGTAATTATTTTTGAGTTTTTCCATAAATACAACTTCATGGTTGTGCTGTGGACAGCTTTCTATTTGAATCTGTATGCAACATTATTCCTCAAAATTATTTCCTCACGTTAGTGACAGTTACAGTCACAGTGGTTGTTGGTTTTGGTGGTTGTCAGAATGCTGTTTTAATCAGTGCTTCAGAAATGCTCTATGTTAATATCATCAAGAATCAATGCTATATTATTTTCAAAACAGTATTTCATTGAAATAACTATGGAACTATTGTAATTTTAATTGGTAAATCTGAGTTGATGTTATTTTGTTCTTGAGACACAATCTCATTATGTTTATCAAAAGTACTGAGTTGTTTCTCTTTGTTTTGTTTAGAGAGGAGGATGGGGGGGTCTCACTATGTATCTCTGACTGAGCCTAGAAGTCGCTATATGGACAAGGCTGGCCTCTAATTTGGGTCCATCCTCCTGCCTCTGACTTCCAAATGCTATGAATGAATTGCTCTATTCACATTCCCTTAAATTATCTGTTACTTCCCCAGAGTTCAGACACTCTAACAGTTACTGTTTGGGGTAAGAGACCTCAATTACACAGCTGTCTTCTGAGCTCTCAATGAGAAAGTGGGATAGCTTATAGAGTTTCAGACTGGAAAATAATAGGATCCAAACCTTTGGTGGATCCTTCCTTAAACTGTCTTTTTTAGCTCGTTTAATATTCTATAATCCTTGTTAGGTAAAACAAACATGGACATCCATGAAGATCACCATATCTTTCAAGCACTGTGCACAGCAGTGTCCTTAATTCTAGTGTAGGCACCACACTTTAATAAATGGGACTTCACAGAATAGCCTCAGGTAATGTTAAAATTCAGATAACATTTACAGTGGATAAAAGTAGAGAATTCATGAAGTAGATAACCATTCATAACATCAAGCAAGTCATTTACCAGCACTAGACAGAAGTTCTCTCAACTCTTTTATAAACATCAGAGCAATGGCTTTTCAATTTTTATTTGTGGATATTTTAGTCTCACTGACTTCTGCAGGAAAACTTAATTGATATGAATTGGAATAGCTGCTGAGTATCTCTCTTCAGACCCTGGACCCTATTGGCCTGCCAATACCTCTCTTTTCAACCAGAAAGCTCTATGTAGTTCAGATTTATCAGGTGTGCCAACATCTACACTTTAAGCAGAGCCAACAACTGAACCCACAAAAAGTTAAAGACAATGATCTCACAATCTGTGATTGGCATGTCTTCTCCACTATCTTCAAGAGAAGGTCAGTTACCATTAGTAAAGTACATTTGATTTCTTAGAAAAACAAATAGAGGGAGTCTTTTGAAGGTTCGTGTGTTTTAGATCTCTTAG